TTCTAGCACCTTCTTTTCCCATTGGTTATTTTTTCACGAATTTTGTTGATTAACCTCTATGTGTAGGGTGTTGGCTTGAAGCTGGATGATGCCCTTGCGTTTTGGAAAGCTGAGTTCTCGCGAAAGGTGAGTGGTGTTTTTGAAGTCTTTCATCTACCAAATCTTCATCATCGTAAAGGCACAAAGTTTTCATCTAACATTTCATGGCACATGTTATGTGCTATCAAGATAGCAATCCAGCTTATTTGTCCACATATGGTAGAAGGATGAGGCGTATTTTTATTGAAAAATGTCAGTAAGATGCTTTTCTTTCCTGGTCCTTCTGACTTGCCTTGATTCGATGCTTTGTGCTTGATCTTTGTCATAGGTTGGTGCTGAAAGGTTTGACAAAGAATATTCATATGGCATACGCCACAATTACGGAAGAGAAGGGAAAAGAACAGTAAGACATCAAACTCAGGAGCAGATTCTTGGATGTACCTGTAAAGGAATACTTAATATGATGCTCTGCGTTATGATCACAATCAAATATGTTTACTTTTGGACATTGCAGGATTACACACCTTATTCCTGTCAAAAAATCATCTCTTCTACTCCTGGTGTAGGAGATCATCATGGATGCCCGTATCGAAATTTCAAGTAATTACTATTATAAATTTTTTAATTATGCATCTGGATGATGTTTAACTTGGCATAAAGAGATTTAACCTCTGAACTTGGCCTGTGTGACATTACTGGATGCGTTGTATTGGATAGAACTGCCACAGCTATATATATAATTCAATGGTTTTTTAGCTAAAGTATACATTGTTGATCAACACCATCGAACAGGGAAGTTATAGTTTAGTGTCAAATGACCTCAGTATACCTTATCAACTTCAACCATTTTCTTTTAGTCCTCACACTTTAATCGCATCTCCTCACCCTGGAAAACAGTACTTGCTCATCATGGCTTCTTTAATTTATTTTTTTGGAAACACTTGTTTGATAACTTGAGCAAATTATACTCAATTGGCTCTTATTTTTCTGTGACAGTGAAGAGAATTTGAGAGCAGCTCTCAATAAAATGGGAGTTACCGGCCGTGCAGTTGGAGATGTCATGGACAAAGTGCGAAACAGACATTATCAGGTGAAAATTTTACTACATGCATAAAAAATCGTTCCAGGCTCATCTTTTTTCGTTCTAACACGAAGTTAATACATGTGGACTACTTGGTAATGTATGCATCAGCTGGCATGCACCTTGACGTTTGAAGCTGTTCATGGGTCATCATGCGATGCTGGGATTAACCATCCAAATCAATACTTTTCTGACAGCCAAAAGATTATGCAGTCCAAGGTAAATTATGTTTTTATTATACTATCAAAGACCCAAAAATAAAAAATAAAAATAAAAATTGTCACTGAAAACTCAACGAAATTCGGTTTTTCGGGAGTGTGCCTAATTGATGCATATAAGCATGCAGTAAAAAAGGTGCTGAAGTTACGTTTTGAAAGCTTGCCTAAGGTTCCCAAAACCTTGATCTGTTTGTTTGAGGCCTTAAAAAGGGTGAAGTTGTACCATGCGCTTATCCAAATTATTCTCTTGCAGAACCAGTCTGCAGCTTAAGGAGAGCTTTTGGGCATTGTCATTTCAGACAGAGGTACTTCTCTCTAAATAGTCTACTTAAGTTAGTGCAGTTTGTGCAAGTGAAGGACACACCCAACCCAAATGCAAATAACAGAGCATCGAGCCAAAGTGGACCCAAAATTTTGATTGTTCTATCCACATCTTTCCACTAAAGGAAAGCCTTTAAAGTCGGTTCTCTGCCTTAAAGTAGGCCATGCATTATGGTTTTTATATAGAGATGGCAGAGCTGGTGGCCCCACCTTTCCTTTCCTGGCATAAAGGTTGGGTTCTGCTTTACATTGAAAAATATGTAATTTAGTATTATTTAGAATCGCATCTTCATGTGAAAATTCGGACCTCTTGATAAGAATAGTGCATGGTGTGGCATATTCTCTGTTCTCATTCGTCAGATTTTGGGTGCTCAATGTGGAAATAGCATCACCTGGATCAGATTAAACGTAATCTTGTTGACGAGAAAGGGGTTGGTTCTATTCTAGCAAGTGTTGCAAACATGGCTCCAGCACAAATTTGGCGTATAGGTTTGATTGATCAGACTGACTAATCACGAAGCACATGATAAAATATAATGTTAAATGTTCCTATTGAGGATATAGGGTCAAATGCTATCTTTGTTCTATGAAAGATTTTCGTTTATAATTTGAATAATGCTCTCGTAATTTCCAAATTCGAATTATGTAATATTCTACATCGGTTTTTTTGTGTTATATTTTATTATTATTTTTTCATTATGCACAAACAATAGTATAATTCTTAGATATGACAGTGCATTTGAGTGAACAAGGTATATTGTCAATGGCCTTTATTACTTATTCGTTTGCCGAGAGCGAATTTCTTTATTTATTTTTAATACAATTGATGGTTTAAATTATAAGGGAATGTATTATCGTGTATCTAATGTCCATTGACCCACCTTCAAATTGGGCAGGAGATATGAGGCCTAAAGGCGAAAAAGGCACTCATTAAGCAGCTTGACCCCTTTTTTATTATACAAATTTATAAATAAACTCAATACTAGACATGTATTTATAAAAAAACCCAAGCACTATTTAAACATAGAAACACACCCAAAATCAACCCCAAAGTCAACTTTTTGGGTGTGTTTATAAATGGGTTTTAAGTGTGTGTAATGATGGGTTTTGGGTGTGTTTATAAAGTGTTTTGGGTGTTGGGTTTTTTTATAATTTCAACCTCCATTTTGGGTGTTTTAGTGAAACTCCCTTCTTATTAAGCTTTGCCATCTTTTACCTTAAAAAGTCCCGTTTGTTTCATGGAACGAAGTTGAAAGGAAATTATTTCTTATGTCATTTCCTAAGGGATGGGGAAATGAATCCATTTCCCATGTTTAGTAATGCTTGGAAAGTAATTGGGAAATATCACTTTTTTTCCTTTTCCGTGTTTGTTTTGAGTAGGAATGAAAAAGAAAGTTCGTATAAATTTTCAATTATACTATATTAAATCAAATAAAAAAATAATGCATTTAATAATATATTGTAATTCTAAATTATTAATGGGGACAAAATGGTCATGACAAATATTTATTTAATATTTGCTCATTTTCCCAAACTTTTCCATGATGAGGAAAAACAAAACTCAAGTTGAGAGAATGACTTCATTTTCCCCTTACTTTCCCATGGGTCAGGCAACGATTTCCCATACCCAGACTTACCAAATATGGGAAAGCAATTTATTTCTCATCCCCAAGTCTCTTTTCCCGTGAACCAAACAGGACCTAAGAGAATATCTCTTAGGTCCCATTCAAGCGCTCCGCCTTTGTTCATCTATAGCTGCTATGCTTGGTATTGTAAACACATATCTATTGCTTGATGCCCTTGAAAGTCCCAAAATAGCCTATTTTAGACCCTAATTTACCGTTCCGCAGAGTGTTATCGTTAAATCTAATGGCAAGGTACTTCCCGTCAGGAGAATTAGAGTGAAGGGTTTTTCACACACACTACTAAGGTGTCATAAGAGTTCGAACCTGAGAAAATTAGTTTGCAAGTCAATATCCTTTTCCAATGCACTAGACTTTGTTTGCATAGATTTTTATATTTCGTTAAACATCAATCACCACTTTATTCAAGTTATATTATATAAATGTATATTAATGTCACATTGAATTACCAACTAACTTTTAATTTAGTGGTATTTCATTTCCTCTATTAGAATAAGTCTCGTGTTCGAATTTCCTACTCCCATTAATAAGAAAAAGAAGGGAACCTAAACCGACGGTGAGACTATAACATTGCTTTTTCTTCTTTTTGGTGAGGAAGACTATAATATTGTTGGTAAAGTATCCTTAAGAAAACATATGAACATCATAATGGGCAACATGTGAACGTTGAGAAAAATAAACCTAGCGGAGTAGCGGGGGGGGGGACCATCACCTTTTAGAGGGGAAGGAGGAGTCTCTCTCTTTAGAGAGTTGGGGTTTGCACAAGCGTGCAAAGATCTGTTTGCTATTTTACTTGTTTTAATTTGAACAAAAGGGCTTTGCCTTCCAAACCCCAAGGTTTTCGGGTCGTCAAATTTGAGCAGAGCTCCTCCTCCCCTGCAAGTTTACAAGTGAGAAAAATAGAAGAAGAAGAAGAAGAAAGAAGTACCCTTCTTTTTATGACCTAGTGGGAGTGCACAGTGGCTTTGCTTTGCTTGCTATGCGCCACCATTATTGTGTTTCCATTTCCGTAAGCAAATTCATATTTTAAACTATTGAGTCATAATATGGTTCCTCTCTTTAGCTCACGTAAACTATCATTACAATTTAGTGCTCAAACTTAAACTAAACATAAAAATGATATATATATATATATATATATTCATATTTCTTAATTACATGAGCTTTTTTTTTTTTAAACCAAAATTAAGGGGTGAGGGGAAAATTTACACACGAGTACAACGGAGACTTAAATTCGGGACCACTTGAAACGCTAAAGGCCAACTGACACCCTATTGGTAATTACATGAACTTGATCCACTTCCTCTTCTAACCCGATGGGTGATCGTTCACAATATTGGTTTCAACTTTTGTGCACATGCCATCGTCCTCCTCCTCACCTGCTACTTTTCTGGTTTTGATTTTGGTTAGTGGATATGGGTTAAAACTCCAAGTCAAATGAGCTCAGAACCCAAGAAGGAACATCATGGAATGTGAGCTATGGAACACAAGATTAATTCCTTTTTTTCATGTCCCTCTGACCTTTCCACTCTTTTCCACTTTTGGTACTTCACTTTCACTTACAAAGTTGAAAGCAACTACGCTCTGTCCCTTTCCCTTCCACACGTTTTTTTTTGCATTTATTTATTTTTTTCAGTTTTCACTCTTTATTAATCTGTGTGCATTTTATTTATTTTATTGTCAGCCTTGTTAGAAAATGGCTGCAAGCCTAAAAGGGTAAGGAGGAGACTTACCAAAAGATGAGCCTTCTCGAGTTATTGTGGTCTCTTTCTTTCCCTTTATAACTCTCTCTTTTTTCCTCTCTGGAGTTATCCATACCACAAGCTGCTCTCTCTGTTTCCTGCTCTGTCCTGCTTGCTAGCTACTAGTAGGCATCTCTCTTTTCATAAACTTTTACTCCAATTTGCTGTCAGACAACTGATGCCTCAAAACTCCAAACCAGGCTTCTTATTATTGTTTACCTTTTCAAGAATGTCCACAACTTCTTCTACATGGATTTGTTTTTTCAGTTTTCATGCTTAATTACACTTGCAGCAGTAGTTGTTTTTTTCCTTGTTTTACTTCCTCTTTTCAGGGTTTCTCTATAATTTGGACGGCGGGATCAAACTAAAACAAGTTTTGTGCTTCACTTTTGCCTGATTTCCAGGCTTCCCTCAGAGGCTGAGGTAACCATCATTCTATCTTTTAATCCTTTTCCTCATCATGTTCTTGTTGTGATTTAGGGAATTGTACTTGAAAAATGATTTCCTTTTTTTATTTTTAAAGGCTTAAAACAGTAAAAACTGTAGTGTGCATTAGTCAATATTGGTGGGCTAGCTACTAGATTTGCTTTTAATGCCTTCAAGGTGATCCAAAATTTACTGCTTGAGAGAGTTTAGGGAAGAAAAAATTTAAGGCACACTTTTGAAGAAATAATGAAAGGATTCAAGACTGTTTGTGATACAGATGATAGTGCTAGCTAGCTCATGTGGCATACTGACACTTATATAACTACAGCTTTTGAATAAGCAAAAAAGTTGTTTTTCAAATTGCATCTCCAGGCTGATAGCTTCTTACAAAATTATATGTAACTTGGAGGAAATATTTTTCATCTGATTGGAAATTTCAAGAGAGATTCATTATTATACCTAATATAGGAGCCCAAATTATTATTATTATTTTTAAATACCCTATATGAAATGAACTTTAGAAACATACCCAAAAACCCATTTACAACATAATAAAAAGGTTTTTAACTTCTTTTAAATTACAAAACTGTCATTGATTTCTTAAAACAAACTCAACCCCAAAACCTCATAAAAAAAACCCAAAACACTCAATAGGGCATCAAAGTAATTTAATAATCAAAATGAAATTCAATATGGCCAGCTGTCATTTTTTGAGTTTGTTTATATAAATTAAATGGTGTAGGGTTTATCTATATTATTAGTGCTAAGAACGGGTATATGACTAAATATCTCAAATTTCAAATTGTTGGGAAAAAGAGAATTAAATAATGATACTACTTGCCTTCTACTAGTAAGGAGATATTCCGAATCACAATTCATCAAAAACACAAAAAGAAAAACTTTTGAACACGAGATACTGCTATTGGCAGGAATGTAGGAGCTCCTACTTACGTAAGGAGGGAAGTATTTTCCATTAAGTGGATAACAACTTCTCATTTAAAGTTCTCTCTCGCTCTTTCTTCCCAATTGGTAGGCATGTTGAACAAAGGAAGACAGGGAACCCAATGCTCTATGCAGCAGTACTTTTGGATTTTGGTGATGCGTAAAAGAACAAATGTATTTTAGGGAAAAAGAAAGTGTTCATTCCAAAGAGTCTTTTTCTTTTGGCTATTACTGAGGACATTTTGGAAACTGGTTGCCCAGGAGAGAAGGCATATTGAAGATTGTTCCAAATTCATTCTGCTTCTGGCTTAGGACTGCATACATAAAACTAGAGGATATCTCTTGATAAAGTTTGAAACTTGTGAACTTGGGCAATATGGAGAACGGATCAAAGGGCAAGTTGAAGGATCCAGGGGTCTCTATGATGAAGTCATCTTCGAGTGCTGCATCTTCGAAAAGACCACGAAGAACCAATAATGGAGCCCAAATTGCATCATGCTTGGTTGATGGGTGCAATTCAGACCTTAGTGAATGCAGGGATTATCATCGACGCCATAAAGTATGTGAGCTCCATTCAAAGACCTCAAAAGTTACGATCAAGGGCCAGGAACAGCGGTTCTGCCAGCAATGCAGCAGGTAAAGGGGGAAGAAATAATCTTATGTTTACTACTGTGACGAAAATGTATATCTGCTCACAACAAAAACTTGTGCAAGCTATAAGGTCAAGTTGTTGAAATTAGAACTGAGGGACCAGAAGTATAATTCAACTTATTTATGTTCATAAGTTGCTCTGCCTAATAAAATGTATTTGTTGGTTTGCCCCATGTACAATCCAACTGTCGTGCATTCAAAAAATAGAGCATCTTGAACTAGCATATGAGAGTTGGACGCATTCTCTTACAAACTAGTCTTACGTGGAATTGGTGACCTCAAAACCCGATTAGATGTCTTAGTCTTTATGTATAGGCATAATGCTCAGTCATTGAAAAAAGATGGCTTTACTTGTGTGTTAATTAAGACTTCTTTCCACATATCCTGGTTGCCTTCTTTATATATATGTTGACATTCGTCATCACATTACTAAGGTTCCATTCATTGGAGGAGTTTGATCAAGGAAAAAGAAGCTGCAGAAGACGTCTTGCTGGACACAACAAACGCCGAAGGAAGCCTCAATTAGAACCCATGTCCACAAATTTGGGAAGATTCTTTTCCAGTTACCAAGGTTTGGATTTTTAATTGGGAAGGTTGTGTTCATGGACAGTGTATTTCACATTTTCCATAGTCCTGATGAGATATCTACAATTGTTTTCATTAGCATAACTTGAAGTACAATGCGTTCATATACAGGCACAAGATTCTTACAATTTGGTAGTCCACAAGTGTGTCCAACAATTGCTGTAATGAACTCTGCATGGGGTGGGGCTATGAAAGCAGAGAATGATGATGTGCTTCTTCATAGCCACTCGCAGTTAAGTGAGACGAGAAGAAACTTATTTCCGGGATCTTTGTCGTGTCAACAGAGCATTGAGTCCATGCTCTCTCAAGCTTCTGCCTGCCAACAACTTGTTGGTACCAACTTTGCATTGGGAAATTCAGGCAACAGCCACAAGATGTTCGCCAATGGATTATACCGCGACGTTGAATCCAATCGTGCTCTCTCTCTTCTGTCATCGACACCAGCATCCCGGGGGAAGATTGGTTTGAGCCACGCAGGGCAGTCCAGTTCAATCTGGCCAGCTCAGCCCCTGATCCCTAGACTGCGCTACAATGTTTTGGGAATGGAGGATGACGCTGCCATTTCCAATTTGGTTGCTGATGGCAGCAGCAATGCCAATAATATGCATTTCCAGGGCATGTTTCAGATAATATCTGATGGCTCAACTGCTGGTGCCCCTCACTAGAAACCCTATCCAGCTGGTGGGGTTAATTTTATCTGCATGGATTTAGCTCTCTTTGTGATTAAACATGAAGGAGTTGACTGCCCTTCTAAACTTGAGAGAGATCAAAATGTCTCTTGTTTGTATTTTTCTCGTACCCCTGAAGAGAAATAATCATGCTGCTATATGAAAGTATTTTCTATTTCCACGATGTATACTCAGATAGTCTGAATCATATTTGTCTGAGCTGATGACACTTTTTCTATTTCAACACAATACATGAAATGATTGACCAAATAGCATCGTATGCAATTATCTTTGAGTTTTGTGAAACTAGAGACCACTGATCTTAGGGGTAGGAAGGAGGGGAAATTACTCACACATTGGTGCTTAGTGGTTTCGAGCCTAAGACCATTGATCTTAGGCCAATCGTGCTTTTCCATTATGGTCTGACCCCAAACATGCTTTGAGTTTTCATTTTCTTTTTTTTTGGTATGAACATGCCTCATATTTGATCCCGGTGGTTGAAGGGCCTGTATGGGCTCTAGCCTCTCGTGGAGCCCAGGTTTTCTTTTTCAAAGTTTATTCAGTTACCCCAGTTAATTCTCAACTCCAGCCCAATTTGAAATCTTAGCTTCCCCTCTGTTTGAGCCTCACATTTATAGTGAGGGTTAACTACCTATTTTATTAACCTCATATTCTCCTTTGTTTTCATTTGCTTAATTTCTCTATTTTTAATAATAATACAAATTAATGGGAAATGAGGGTTCGAACTTGGGACCTTTGGAAAGGGAAGTGCAACTAGACTAAGGGCCTATTTGGGAGTACTTCTGGAAAGGTCAAAAGCGCTTTCTGATAATTAAAAGCGTTTTTGACAGTGTTTGACAGAAAAGTTTAGAAGCGCTTCTAGATCATAGAAGCGCTTCCTGGAGAAGCACCTGCTATGTGGTTCTTCAGGAAGCACTCCCAAGTGTTTTTCCACGAAGCACTTTATGAAAATTCAAGATTTTTATAATAAAATCGCTTTTGTTAGAAGCGCTCATAAGCAGAAGTACTTCCTAGAGAAGTAGTTTCAAACGAGCCTTAAGAGTTAGATAGTAATTATGAAAACAAAATACACTTAATTAAACCAACTTGAAACAGAAATTTCTTAAAACTGTGTTTTAACCTTTGAGCTCGTTTGATAACCATTTCAATTTCAATTTTTTTATTTTCATTTTTTGTGCTAGATTATAAAGGAAAATGAAAATGAGAATGAAGTGAGGATGAGATTGAGAAAGAGAGAGGATGAGAGGGAGGAGAAACAAAAGTGAAAACAATTTCAAATATATTTCAATTTTTAGTTTTGGTTTTCATTTTTGTTACTCCTCCCTCCTATCCTCCCTTCTCATCTTCCCTCTCATTCTCATCTCCACTCTCATTCTCACTTCCATTCTTCTTCTTTTTTCCTCTATACTCTAACACAAAATATAAAAACTAAAAACTAAAATTGAAATGGTTATCAAACGAGTCTTTGGATTATCAGTGTAACAACATAACACGTTTTGCTTTCCCAAATAATTGACATAATTTAATGGGGGGATATTTGGGTCGCTGTTGGCTTACTGCTCTGCTCTGTCCATTTGTGGTGGTTGAAGATGACCTGAAGTAGACAAAAGGCAAACCAAATTAAGTTACTTTCCTTTTCATAAGTGAAGACCTCCAGTTCGTTAACCCTACACTGCAATGGGCCCCTCCTCTGCAAAGGCCCATTACCGCACATGCTCCCCACACACAACATTGCTTTCTTCACAATTATTAATATTATTATGATGGAGATATCAAATTAACCTAATTGTGGCTCTAAATTAATCTCCAAATTAACAACCACATGAATCATGATCAGACGATCAAACATGATGTTTATTTTTTGGATTTATAATTATAAGTAGGTTAGTTCATATGTTAATTTACAGCTTTGGGCAGCATGCACTTCTAAAAAGATACTAGCTGGTCTTGCTGCCTTCTCTAGTAGCCACAGTTTTGTCTTGCTTATGAACCATCAAATTTGCGGAGGAAAAAGGGGAAAGTCTTTTTGGAAATTAGGGTTTTTGATGTTGAAAAATCACTAATTTTCCAAGATTGGTTATTCACACACGAGTTGCCTCAAAGCAAAAGTGAGAGTTTGGGTTTCATATATGTATCTTTGTGTTGTGTTTTTTTTTTTTTTTATAGATAAAGATTAGGGTTGCAGGCCATGTGCATACATTATAAGTTGTTAGTGTCTCCACATTGAGTAGTTTTTGAGATGGTTATGCCTTTTAAGATCAAGTTACTAGGTTAATTAAGTAAATGATCATGCCTAATTAACCCATCCTCGAGTACATAGCTTTAGCCAATTACCCAACATGGATTTGACTAATCACACACAAAACACGTTATTGTTATTGGAATTTCTTGTTAGGCTTTAGTTTGAATATTGAATTCCCAATAAATTCTCCAAATTTAACAAAATGGAAAACTAATGATTACTAACACGCTCATTTTTATAGTTAGCCATATGTTATAGTTAGTCAAGCACATTAGTTGGTTAATTCTGACCAACTTACGAGTGGGCGATTGGTTCTAACACGCTCATTTTTCTTCTTTTTCTTTTTAAAAGTGATGATATGATAACATTCTCAAACAGAAGCATATAGTTCGTTCTTTATTTCTTCCTTGTTGCTTTTACCAAAGCTTGTTGATCACAAGAGCAAAGAAAGACTCAAAGATAAAGAGACTTTGAATTATTAATGGGTGCACTGAGAGACAAAAAAAAGAATAGCGACGTCTTTGAAAGGAGAGTAAAAAAAAAATTGGGCCAGCAAAGAAACTGGATCGGTGTTTTTGAAAATGAAGATGAATTAGAAGAGGAACCCACTTGCGACGTGACTTCCTTAAAGACATGTGCCCAAATGGGAAAGAGGTCCACGTATGATTCTGGTTGACGTTGATGGTGTTCGCCCTAAAATGGAAATAAATCTGACAGGTGGGGGCCCACTCTCTGTTCAACCGTGTCCATTGGATTTCCTCCTCTTCCTCCTCCTTTTTATCAAATGTGCTTGCTGGTCCCCACCCTCCACCGCATTCAGAGCTTCATAAAACCCTAGATTGTGAATTATAATTGAAAGTGACAAGATTTGCAATCTTACACACATACACGCTATTAAGCTAAGCTGGCTGTGACATCAAATTCCTGTATCGACTACTTCTAGGCCTCAGACATGCTTTCTAATCTGACCATCTTGAAGGCTGGAAACGACATGTTTAGATTATTAGGCATGAACCCGAAAGCCCTAGTGCAAGCAAAACACAAAACGATGAGTATAATTCATGATTTTCACCAAAGAAGCAGAAGCATACATGAGGAGTAACATCGGAAGCATACTTTTCGACCATCACCACATTCTTAAAAACCCTTTTTTCATGATTTCATCAAACCAAGCCCATTACAAATGTACCACATCACAAACTGGAGAGCAACCAATTTGGTTCTAAAAAAAATAAATCCAATGAGGGTTATGAAATGGAAATTATTCCAAAATTGACAACACACAAAGAGTCCCCCGTGGGCTGCTGACGAACAACTGCTAGCAGCTACAGATGTTGATTTCTTTTTTCTTTTTTCTTTTTTCTTTTTCTCACGTACAAGTTTGACAGGTTGAGAAAGCCATCTGCGTTTTTTTTTTTTTTGGGGGCCTGAAATAAAAAAGAAGGCAATAAAAAACAGAAACAGAAAAGCTAGCTAGCTAGGTAGCCATCTGTGTTTAGTGGTCCACTAGGATTGATGATGGGAGAGGTGAGTATGAAGGCACGATGGTGGTGGTGGTGGTCGGTGGTCACAATCAAATAGTTGTGATTCAAATGCAGGCCTCTGTCACTTTGTGTTCCATTTTTTATCCTTGGCTGCGTTTCCATGTTTTATAACTGGAGACGGTAATTTTAAAGACGCTGTAAAAGAGTAGAATTCTTAGATTTTTTTTAACACTTTCCATCATGGTGTATGGAGATAGAGGACATAGACCATACCTTAAGAAAATAAGGTATTATTTCCATCATTCAATATTATTTAGGTGAAACCCAGAAACCCAGTTGATTGGCTAAATTCAAAACTTTACCCTACCTTCCAAGTCCTGTAGCATTGGACCACTCCAGTGTTTAAAACACATCGTTTAGAATTTGGGGTATTTCAGTTGGTCTTCATTTTGTCTCAACTCACTGCATGATATATTATCGGCCCCCACCACACCAATGTTTCTGAGTTGGATTCTAGCTACTTATCTTCTCTTATCTTTGCCTCAAACGCATCAAAATTTAAACCTTGATTCAATCATATCATAGCTGTTGGATATGAAGCATAAGAAATGTTCATGGTAAAAATCTAACTCAAATATGAGATGAGAATTAATTTTGTATGCATTGTATCAGCCTTGTCGTCTACCTATTATAACAAGTGTGCAAGTTATACTACATAGCTCTACTCCAGTATGATTCTATAATTTCTCGTACGCTAGAATAACAAAAAATTCCTGAGTTGAGATGTTTAATCATAGAACTGGTTGACTCCACATCCACTTCAGGTTTGATGTATACATTCTTTTATTTCAAGCAAGATTTCAGATTATTAAGAAATGTATTTTAGATTAAGACATAATAAATCAATTTAAATGGTCGCATGCTTGTTTGATATGACTTCTCGGAGTTCGCTTTAGAGTAGATATGCATTGCAAATACGTAAAGATATAAAGTTGTAAGATTTCACATATTTACAAGTCGACTTTTTCAGTACATGCATGATGGCCATGTTCACGAAAAAGGTACAGTTGTCTAAATGGAGTTTGACCTTAAAAAAGTGGAAGCACAAAGACACTTTGTGCTCCAACCTTAAAATTTGTAAGATAAGAACAAACTTAGTTTCATATATATAGTTTACTTCTTTTTTATTTTTTTTACTTTTTTGCTGTCTGACCAAACACGAATTTTCCTTTTCGGTTTTTAATCTTAGTTTCTAATATTGGTTTGTTATCGTAGGAGAAATTCACTACTCAATTAGCCAAGACAAGGTTCAAACCCTAGGCCCCCAATAGGTTACTATATACATTGTTATTCAATTTTATTAGTAACACTTTCAATAACCAATTTGGAATTTCTTTCAAATTTATGGCATGTTTAGTTATTTGAAATAAGAAT